ATTCTTATCGCTTCTCCGAATAATTGAAATATCAACGACAGACGACAGACGACAGTTTTGTGTAACGATAATTAACGAGGGCAATTTCCAAAAGCGACAGGGAAAACTCGTCGTAGGTGGTCTTCCAAGAGGCATAGTTCCCGATTTCGGCTCGGCTTTGCAATCGGCGGATCCGTCGTCTCGATATCGTAAGAAAGGATCCCCGGGATCGTTAGTACGCGGCCTTGTCCGTCACGAGAGCGTTCGTACGTCGAATCAGCGATCGGTCGACACGCGAGTCCATTCCTCACAATTAGCGGCGATTCACAGCCGCACACGGTTTGCCACCCACACACCGGCCCGCGCGGATAATTATTTTCCGATTATTATTAATAGTACGAGAGAGGGACGACCGTGCGGCCATAATCGCGGGGATATCTAGCGCGGAGGAAGGGGAGCGAAGACGATCCCTCTGACAGGACTCGAGCCGCGAGGTCGCGGCCTCCGGTTCGTCCGATGTCCCGACTCTTTTATATCGCCGGGCATTCGTGCGCGCGAGACATCCTGTACATAATGGACGTCTTGAATGATATCCCTGCCGATGTACCGCCGCGTCACGTTCGCATAATGTGTTCTAAAGTGAATATGCCTCTGCCTACACTTCACGCTCGCATCCTTCCTTAATTTTTTCTAATTAAGACGAATGAAATCCGAATCAATAAGTCTTCCAAGTAAAATTGCTGAATGAAATTTCTTCGATATTTTTTTTTTTTTTAGGGATATCTTACAAGCTTTTCCTTTCCGTTATTCCGAGGAAATCTCAAGGTAAAATCGAAACCGAAAAATCCTGACAACGTCAAGGGACACTTAGAAGTGCACTCGGTCAAACAGCGAATAAAGATTAGTATACGTGCGTCGCCGGGGGTAGTTCACCCCCGCAAGCTCTCCCGATGACGTATTCCAGTCACACGCGCGTCCCACTCCGTCCCGCGCCATCCTTTTTCCGCGCGATGTATTCACGGTATGTAACCGGGAACGGGACTCTATAAAATACTACCCACCCATCGCCCTCGCATCCCCCCTTCCTCCTTCCCCACGATTTTGTTCGGCCGAATAACTTATTGTGCGCGCTCTATTTTGATATGTCGAGGGCCGCGCACTGAATACCGAATGCCGGTATAGATTCGTTCCAAACAAAACGGAATTCGATTTTCGCCCGGCCGCTGGAGAAACGATACATAGAAAGAGAGAGAGAGAGACAGAGACAATCGAGTCTCGTTTATGACGAGATTTATGACGCGATCCCACCGCGGAACTCCTTGACGTCGCGTACAGAATGTCCCACAACGCGTTGCGGGATTATTTTTCTTTTCTTTTTGACAAAGCTATAGAGATGATGCTTTTTAAAATACGATTCTTACTTTCGCGAAATGCTTTTATAAATTTGTTAGACGCATAGCGTGCACAATAGTAAAGCTAATGAGAAAAAAATAAGGGTTGATTCCTAGACTTTATTTTAATCTCGATTTATAATTGAAATTTCTTTTTCTAAATTAGATGCATAATTTTTATTAGTATTTACACATTTAAAAAATTGAGCGTATGTCAAGAATGACTTCTGAATTTTAAGCAAATCAAGTTTACCATCACAAGAATCACACACTTTCTGTGTCTGAGAAACTATAACTCAAATATATTAACGGCATTAAGTATAAAGATGGACGCATCAGCCTGAATACAAGCTGCAGGCGCGTAAAAGGGACGACAAAAGTCCACGGCGCGTTGCGATTAACTGAAACAACCGACTCGACAATGGAGTAATCAGCGAGCTTTTCGACGCCACTGTCGCCTCCTCTCGACTACCCTCTTGCCGCCCCAACCCCTCCCGGCTTCTGGCAATCCCTTCCTCGCGGGGCGCGTTTGTTGTCGCTTCAGCAATCACTACGATCATGTCCTGCTCTGTGATATTGTATTGTTTTCGCTGTCACGCACTGATTTTTGCATTCTGTAATTAGATGAAATTTAAGTCATTAAATAAAAAGGTCTTTTTTGTTGAACGAAATAAAAGAAGGTTGTAAAATATTTGTACAAATTATGTAAATTTATCATTATTTATTGTATGCATTCTGAAAGATAAGAAAAAGATAAATACATTTGAATGACTCAAGTTTTATCTTTGTCGGAAAATGTAAATATGATTTTCGAATTTCAGAACAAAATATTGTGACCAAAGACAAACGCATTAATTGCACTCTATAAAAATATAAAAAAAATAATTGGGTTTTCAAAATTTCACACAAAATTTTATTAAGATTAGATTTTCGAATCCGTGTATATTCTGCTTAGATTCTTTTTAAAGTATCACTCGTCAATTTGTAATCGATTTCTCTCCCTCTTCGCGTGACAAGGAGAACAAATACCGTTATCTCGGGATAGTATAATGAAGGATCATCTACTCTGGAGTAGATAAGCGAGCGCGATCGGCTGTCACGCTGTCCCATTATTAACCGCACAAATAATTCGCTCTTCAGCGTGTCCGTCAATGAGCGAGATACAGCGATCGGCTGTCGTTCGAGGTCCCCTTTATCAGCCCTCGTCTCTTCGTCACACATTCTGCCATTCACGGGGCGTGAACGCCTTTTATCGCACGTCGCCGATAAGAATCGATGCGAGGGACGACGTGTGTCTCTTTTCGAGCAATTTAACGTCCAAATCGACACGAAATTCCACGCTCGTGTGTACTGTCCAAAATAATTAGCTAATCATTTCGTCATTTAATAAGTCGATGATGTTTGTGAAATTTCTTAAGAGAAAATTAGTCGCACAGAAATGATTAATTCGCAATTGAAATAATTCGAATTATTCTTTCATAAATTTTAATTAATCAAATTTTGCAATTATTTATTTAATATATATTTGCTTACTTTTCCTAATTTCCTAACTTCTCAGAATCATGTGAATTGGATCATTTCATGGAAAGAATAAAATTCTGCGGCTAAAAATAAGATCTGCGAGGACAATCGAGAAAGAGAACACTTTCAAAGTACAAAACACGACGAGGTGGACTAAGTGATTTTTCGCGATTCCAACGTCACGTATGAGGGGAATAATAGTGGGCGGACGGGTTTCACGGCCTCTGCCTCTTTCGTCGAGCACGGGGGTGCCACGCGACCGCTGATTATACCATTCATCGACTGGCACGGTCCGAAAGAGGGTTGCGAGCGCGTAAACGCCGTAACATCTAATATACCCGTTTCTCTCTCCTTCCATATTTTCCCCGCTCGTTCTTCGATCCTGAATGCTCGCTCATCAATGAAACAATTCGACGATCCCATCGTCGGCTCCTTAGATTCCCCTCCCATCTATTGTTAATTAGCAACTTTCGTTTAATAGAGCTTATGCAAAATTTTGTTATTTGCGCACACAATCTCTTTTAAGTATACATTATATTGTGTAAGAGAGAATACTGTCATAAATCTCTCTAACATACGTGCGTTTTTTGCAGAAAGCGATGCTCGATTATTTCAATATAATTAAAAAATTTTTCTCTTTATAATTAAGAAAGTGTTGTAATGAATTAACTGAATATATTATATTACGTTATGAGTATTAAATACTAGTTTTATGTCTAATATTTTTCCAGATTAGCAAAATATATTACAACATGTGATATTTTAAATACGAAAAAACATCAGTTTTCTTAACATAAAGGTCTCATTTTTTCGAACAAAGTAGAACATTTTTATTTCGTTCGACAAAAAAAATGTTTTCTATATGTTTGAAAAATTTATTTCTTTGGTATGACGCAAATTCACTTTTCTGCAGCAGATGAATATTTTTGCGCGTCCCGGAAATTCAATGGAGACGACGCAGTTCCCACTTTATGACAACCAAGAGATGTTGTCGCTTGCACACCAGCCCTGTCTCATTTTATGCCTTCTCTCTTTATCGCTTTTATCATTCGAGACGTCATACAACTTTTTTCCCTCGTTGCATCCCGACTAGCTTTTTCTTCCTCTTTCTTATTCGGTCTGCGAAAAGACTACCGCAGATGATAAGGTTTATTATAAGATTTGTCCCTTATGTTCGCTCTCTCCACGCTTGTATTCTTGCAGTGGACAAAGCGAGAAAAGAAATTCTTCACCTGACGACAAAAATAGCGACTGATCGATGAACGCATCAAGCAATATTATTTCGTGTTATTTTGGTCTCAATTTTTTATTTTTCTTAGATTTTTCGGAGCTCTTGGTTCGATCGATATATGAAATTCTATAGAATTCATATTAATATATAATTATTTTTTCATTGCTTTAGTTTTTAATTAAATTTTTTTATAAAAAATGAAATATTTTTCATTTTTTTATAAAAGTTATCATATTTATATATTTTGTTGTACAATATATTATACATATCGTACCATGTGTGTATTATTGTCGACATTGAGTAATGTCTTTTTGTATACTGAGAAAACAAATTGACTATTTGTATGTATGACTAAACTATTTATCAAAAATGTTTATTTCCGTATAGAAATATTTGAAGTCCTGTAATTACATACATTGGAAATTTTCCTGCTTCCCCTAATTACATTGTCTTCGGGAGTGTATCAATGAATCGGATGTGCTCAGCTGACCGCCAACGGAAGGCGGAGAGATCAGAAAGGCAACGGCGGCGATAATCCGCGCGTCAAACGCACCCACGCCTCGCGACCTCGTTGTCTTCGTGAGCGTTTCGATCAGGAGGGGAGGAAAAGAGAAAGAGAAAAGAGAGAGAGAGAGCGAGACAGGTATCTCTCCACCTGTTGCACGAACCCTCGTATCCGTGGAACCGCCATGCCGACTCACCCGCCAATCGACAATCGCCCATTGGCCCTGCGGAATAGTGGGAGCTGCGATACCGCGTCCGATTGGTCCGCAGCCAATCTTTTCTCCCCCGCATCCTACAGGAGCCGTGAAACGCCGGCAGAAGAGCCGTCGTTGTCCCACGGGTTCGTCCCAGATGTGCGATCCATGTTACGAAAAGTTTCTGTGGGAGTCAGTATACCAACAGGACTCGTGTTCGTCAGACATCAAGTCCGAGCAGGAGTGCAGAATCTCTTCCCGGATTCAAGATTTGTGACAATTGAAACACGGAAGACACGAGAGATTTTTTCTTCACAATTAAAAGAATCGAATTTATTTTTAATTCACGTGAGAATGAGAGTCTTCAAAGATCGCTAGATCGAGAAGCCAACCAAATGATTTACGCATGAAGATGCAGTGATTAATAGGCAACCGTAAAATTTCCTCGAAAGGGAGTCCGACAATTGGAGGATTTAAATGTTCTTCCTAAAACAGCTGATGTTCGTCTAAGATGTGCGCAATATTTTTAAAAACATCCTGGACTTTTGAAAAATGCACGATTTTTTTGAGAAATATTTATTGCTTGGATTGTCGCTCGAAAAGATTTTAAGAACGTTGCCGTCGGTTACGATTGTGGCATACAAGTTTGTTTATTAATTAAGAAAATAGTCTAGTCTTTGCGCAGGATTCTATTGAATATCCGAAAAAATAGAATTATTTTTGAGAAATACTCGTTTGGTTTTTCTCAGATGCATCGGACCCCTGAGATATTTAAAAATATCTCAAATTATTATTAAGCTTATTCAAGCTATCTCTTAATTATCAGCGTCACTTTCGTGCAGTGAATGTGAATCAATTAAGAAAATTGGAGAATAAAATCAATTAATTGATCATGATTACTCAGAATCAATTGTCACTAGAGTGATGATAAAAATATTCAACAATCTATTAAAATATCGAAACGATTTCTATCTAAAGGAACGATAAATTCAGAAGATCCCACGAGCCTTCGACCTCTAACAAAAATTTTTAGTATAAGCAAAGAATCTAAATTCCTGAAATAAGCAAAGAATCTAAAAAAAACACATATTTGGGATTGTTGAGAAAAAGATTGTCCACAGAATGCAATTCACAGAAAGTTACCTTATCCACGCAAGATAGGCACGATTTATCAATCAATTTATCAAAAATGTTGTGTATGCTCGAGGAGGGCAATTAAAGATCAAGCGCAACGTGACCAGAAGAAAACGACTCATGGATATGTCGTCGAAAACTCTACATAACGAACACATTAAGCGGCCGATGAACGCCTTTATGGTGTGGTCGCGTGGTCAACGTCGCAAGATGGCACAGGAGAACCCGAAAATGCATAATTCAGAGATCTCGAAGAGACTCGGCGCCGAGTGGAAGTTGCTGACCGAGAGCGAAAAGCGCCCTTTCATCGACGAGGCAAAAAGATTGAGGTGAGCTCACGAAATACGTCAAAGTTATTATTGAATACACGCAGTTTGTTTCGCAAATATCAGTAATGCCTTTCTTTTCTAAATCAAGCAGATTTGACTTGAATACGTTGTGTCTATTTAGTCACTAATTGTGCCACTTTTCTCATTTAAAATGTAAAAAATGATAAAAGTGAGTCACACATAATAATATCCTTCGTACAAGCTAAAACTTTAATAAGCTAGTATTTAAAAAATAATATACATATTTTTATGTAAAATTCATAAATTATATATTTAAAACTGGAAAATCACTTTTGCGATACAAACTGCTTGTAAACATAAATTCATAAAACACTTAAAACAAGTCTATACAGTACACACATTTTTATTCTAATTATGTAAAAATATTTTATTCAAGCTTATTTTTTTAATATGCTTCATTATCAGAGAGAAAGTATCTTACTAAAATATTTCTATTTTATACTACAAAATAATTTTGCGAGAAATATACTGCTAGTGTATTTACTTTATGGAATAAATCGTGATATAATAAATTCATATTATTATAATATATATTGAGAGCGCTCTTTCTCTCTCTTCTCTTTTCTTCTCTTTTCTATTCTATAACAGTATATAAAAGATAAATATAAAATGTAGAAAATGGGGTAATATTTTGCAGTCTTTGGATCGACGGACGGCTTTTTTTTCGTGGTGACGCTAATTGCTTTTTAGTCGCAAATACTCGAGCGGGATGATTGCGTTGATCGGGGGGTCCGTATCAGCAGAGTTGTGGGGATCGAAAACGGCGGGAAAGCGCGCCACGCGATCATCTCGTACTTCATAATACGGTACATTGTTGCCGAGGATCTTAGGGGCGTGCTACGCTGAAATAGGGTGAGACGGGGCCGGTATTTATAGAGCGGGGGAGACGAGCTCTCTTTATTACGGACCCTGAATATTTAATCACTGTTATGAGTTTATTTAGCTCGCTGGAGCCGCGCGCTGCCGATTTTTCGAACCCGACGCGCTCTTAAAACAGCCCTTTCCCCCTTTCCCCTCTCTCCTTTCTCCCTTTTAAAAGAGATCCCGCAATCTCGCGAGAACCTTGCTCTAAGAGTCCTCGTAACGTCTTGTAATTTTGTAAGCCTTATTGAATAACATTTTGCAATCTCGTCAAAGAGGAGATATTAATTTTACGAGAACAATTAGTACATGCAACAATTATTTCACGGAAATTTTGGAAAATATTTTATCCGTAAATAAATTTTGAAAAATATTTTGTTATTTTATTATCTCGATTTTCCTCTCGCGATTGATTAACTTTTCAGAATCGGAAATACTACTCAATATTTGACGATTATTTTTATATTAAAATAACTTGAATATTCTCTGATTAATTAATTTACGACTTTGACTTTTTGGTAAATAATTTAAATATCGCATGAATAATATTTATAAGATACGTTAAATATTTGATAATATTCTTATTTTATACATGTTATTTTTAATATATATTATTAATTATTTTTTATTATTTTTAAATAAATTTATTTTATCCGTTTTAACTAAACAGATTTCTTGACGATAGCGCTAAGTATGCGTATCATTGTCTCTGGAGAGATTTATGGCGACGAATCTCTTGATAATAGTATTCAATAATTGAAATAAAAATCTCTCGTGGTTAAAGGAGCGGGAAAGGAATAGGTTTGCGCAAGGTACGTGAAGATTAAATTTGAGAACGATCTCTCCCGCTCTCTCGCTTCTCGATCTCGTCCCGGGGAACAAGATTTAAACTGATTCCACGCTCTAACCCCGTGCCCGCGTTGCAAAATATCCCGACCTCGATTTACATTCCTCCCCGTCGGGAGAAAAAAGGAGGAAATGGAAGAAAGCGAGGGAGTCACACGGGCGGGATGTTTTGCGAAGCCGTTGAAATTTTTTGGCGAGACTGCGAATATACGACACGACATCGTCTTAACCCATCCGTAAATAAGTTGCCGTTGCGTTCGTGCTCGAAATATAGCAATCACGCAATCGCGTCGATAAACGATAATTAAATACAATAAATGCAATGACGTTCTTTCTTCGTATACGGCACAAATGATTACGTCTCGATTAATTCTTCGACTTTAATTAATTTTTGATCTGATATAATTTGTATTAATTAGCATATCGCATTTTTTAAATATTATTTAGTTTATTTTTTTTTAATATTTACACATTATTGTTTAGTTTAATTTTAATCTTTTTCAATTTTTATCTTTTTGATGTACATATGATGGGGTTGTCATATATTCAGCATTAGATATCAAAGTTAATAATAAATTTTCTAGCGATGTTCATCCCCCGCACGTTTCGCTGGTGTACAAAAACGCAAACAAAAGGCCATATTTTTCCATCGCAAAATTTCTGGAAAAGAAAGAAAATGAGAAGGACCAGTAGGTGTGAACGGACGAGTGGACGGGGGAAGGGAGACGGAGGAGGAGGGGTATGGGCAATCCGAGGGAAATTTCGACGCGGACGTGTAACGGCGAATCCGCTTTTCTGGCGGATGGCAGCGACGTCGGCGACGAGGAGGGCGGCGGTCGTAAAATAAAAGGGGGAAAACGTGAAAGGGGTGCGCGGAAGGGGGTGAGGTGGGAACGGGGGACGGGATAAAGTCGTTCCCTTGGAGCGGGCGTCGTCGGTAGGAGCGGGTTCCCTTGGACCCGCGCCGTCACTGGCCCGACGTAATCTGTCCGTTCGTTCACGGCGACTCACAATGTGGCCCCCGAGATAACAAATAAAGCCCCATTGTCGCAATTGTGTGGATTTAAAAGGATTTGCTCGGCTTCTCCGCACCCCCGCCGCCGCCGCCGCCGCCACCGCGTTCACCTATTCCTTTCTCTCTCTTCCTCTGTCTCTCTCTCTCTCTCTTTCTCTTTCTTTCTCACTCCCTCGTTCCCCGCTTTCGCGTTTCAACCCCCTACATGTATCCCGCAGCCTCTTCCCGATTTCTCGCTTCTCTCTCGCCGTGGCTTTTACGCGCTCTGTCGCATGTGAACGTTCTTTTAATATCGCGCCGAACAATCTATCGATATGCTTGAATTATGATTAACTCTGATTTCATTAAGCGAGTGGATTTCATATCGATTACTCGTTGGAGATACAAGAGAGCGAGATGAAAATTGCTCGTGATCGATAGCAATTATTCGATATTGTTTGAAAGTATAAAAATTTAAAGGGAAAATTTGAAGGGAATGAAGAACCCAATTAATTGTAAAATAACAGATTGTTATTTCTGTAACAAAAGGGTAAATATAGGAGCCGTATATCTTCGATTAATATTCTCCGGAAATAAACTTTGGCAACTCGATGAAACTCGATTAAGTGTCCGTCTCCGCGAATAGCGCTTTCGGTCGCACGGCATTCCGTTGACAATCGTAACTAATTGTTATTGTTCCTTGTCGCGACGCGGCGAGCTTATGTCGCTATGGGGGATGATATAGCGCGTTGTTTATCGGTCGCCAGGTGGGCGGTGGTCGGAATTGTAAAGATTACGGCCGATGTTTATGCATTTATGCTGAGTTATTGTCGGCGCGGCTTTACCGATGTTTATGCTGATTTACGCTTTGTGCTATCTGCCGGGACACATTGTCCCCGGAATTATTATTCCGCGGTCGCGACGGCGTTCGCGCCCTCCCCCTCCCCCCCACTTTCCTCCCGCCGCAGCATCCCCTTCGAAATTTTGAATTTTCGTGCCCGAAAAAATTTCTCCATCCCGCACTTTCCCCGTCAATCGGATAATCAGCGCGGATTCTGAAAGAATTCCGCGATAATTAATCATTGTTCTTCTAATTTTATCGCATAATAACGTTTTCGAGAAGCAATATCGAAGTTAAAATTCCGAAATTCTAATAAAAATAATGCATGTATCTCGTTTTGCGCCTCAAAATTAATATAACAACAATGAAAAAACTTTGCTTTCGCGAAATATATTATTATAATGTGCGCGAAATTCTTCGACGTTTCTCTGACGTTATTGTCCTCGGTAGTTCCTGAATTTTTTCGCGACTCGTTGTTAGAAAAAAGCCCACGTATCTCGACAATCCTCCTCTCGCCCCTTCTCGCTCTCTTTTTTTATCTCCACGAGGTGAGACATAAATAAGCACTGCGTTTGTGCGCCTCTTGAGTATATAATGGAGTATTATGTGTCGGAGATATCGCTGCTCCTTCCTCTCTTTCTCCATCGCGCGAAGAGGAGGACGAGATGTGTGTGTACAAGATACCTTACCTTAGTGCAAATATCTATGGTGCCCCGTGTCGTATCCGGGGCTGCGATAATACGTCCCATTGTGTGAAAGACGGCGAGCACAGTTTACTAAAATTGTGAAAAGGTGGTTATATTTCCACGATAATCGATAGTCAACGTAAACATGATAAAAAAATGACGTGGGTATCCGTATTATATTTCGTGAATGAAGCCAATATAGAGACCTAGATAGAGATATTCTAACACCTCGGGTAGTTTCACTCTTCGAGACAATTTATTTGATTTTATAATCTTAAAAGAAATGGTGTTTACCCTGGTCTCTTACGCAGCTTATCGATGTTAAAAATTTTGAAAAATAAACAAATTTAATATCTTTATAAAGTTTGATTAAATGATATAATAAAAATGCACAGAATTTTGGCTGAAGTTTTTTCATTGAAATTGTTAAAATCATTAAAATTAGGACGTTAAGGACAAAGTTTCGTTTCAGGATTTAACAACTCTTACCATCACGGGATGGTCACGGCATTATGTTGTAGACCCAACGCAGGCTAAACTATCGCCGCGTTTTCAGTTGCGAAACTATTCAATTAAGCCGTCTTCCGAAAAGCGCTTCTGGACCCCTTTTCAACTATCCCTTACCCTTTAATGTATAATTCGATGTCGGATTCAGCGGCGTTATCTGCCGTAACGACGAACATCCGCGAAATTCACATTGGGAGAATTGGACAGAGCAAAATTAAAAATCGAAATTAGCACTAGAGAAACGAACTCTTTTTTTCTTTATGAGAACAATGTGAAAGTCTTCTGTATATTTGTTTACTTTCATTCTTAAATATATTTTTAAATATATTTAAATAAATTTTAAATATATTTTTTTATCTCAATATTCTTAAATATTTTATATATTATTATATTAATTCATATTTAATGACATTACAGAATGACAACACAAGTACAGAGTAACAACACAACACACAATACAGAAATATCGGTTAATTTAGTGCAATGTTACCGTTCATCTTTCAGAGCTCTTCACATGAAGGAGCATCCCGACTACAAATATCGGCCACGCCGAAAGCCGAAGTCTCTGGTGAAGAAAGAAAACAAATTTGGCTTCGCGATAGCGCCGTTGATATCGCCTGGCGATGGTCTGTCTAATCTACCACGTGGTCTCCTGCCGCCATTGGCACCACCCACGCATCACCCATTGATGTCGCACGAGGACTTGAAGATCCCGCGCTTCTTTCCACCGTTCCCCTATCCGCTCTATCCGCTGCAGCACAAGCTAGGGGATGATTTTAACGGTGGCAAACTGGCCGCCGATTTGGCTCTTCAGGCTCTCTATACCGGCGGCACTTTCTACCCGAGTCATCAGGCAATAGCGTCCTGGCCGACGGGCTTATCGGCAGCAGCTTGCTTGCAGCCCAACTGCAGTTGTCCGAGCCCGCCAAAAGAGTCCAAGAGGCCGTTTCCGCCATCCAAGATGGACGATCCGCCCTTTCCGAGCCCAGCTAGAGCCGATGACAACGCTGTCATCGCGGAACGGGAGGAATCCCGGTATCGAAAGTACGAGGAAGACTTCACCGCCTTAGACAGGCATCATCATCATCATCATCATCTTCATCAAGAAGATCGTTCTCAGGATCGATTCTCTTCGTCTTCTTCCTCTTCACCGCCCACGGAGCAACCGGAAAAATCTTCGACGACGACAACGTCCTCGACCTCGAGCAGCAGGGTCGACAACGCTCCGTTCTCCGTTCAGAGTCTGACTTCGAGCACCGGCAGTTCGAATTCGGGCTCGCAGCGCGGACACATCATATGAAGACCGCTTCCGGTTCTCCCGGATCTCAACTTCCGGGGGAGCCTGGTGCCGGCCACGTGGCCGACCGCCGATTGGTGGAGAGTGGCTCCGATGCTCTCGCCGATTCCCCAGACGACAGTCGCTAATCTGAACGCTGGCGTTGCCAAGGAGGACGTTGTACACTTTCAGGATGAGCAGCAGATGAACGCGACGATCGTGTCGAGATCGCCGAGGAGCGGCGTCCACGTCGCCAACGTGCAATGATTCGATAATCGGGGTGACGTACTTCAAATCCCCGATGAATATTTCTTCGGTATCTCTACAATTTCGAAAATGAACGTCCTTCTGTTTTGAACGTGAGTCATTTCCCTTCAATTATAGTTGTAGATTATGTTTGAGAAACGTCCAAGATATAAAAAAAGATTGTGGTCCGATAGCCATTTCATTTCAATGAGGGAACCAGTCGGTTTCTATAGCTTGGGCATCTCTCGAACATCATCTAAAACTAGTGAGAATAATTGTGTATATAATTGAAGTGCTCTCCGAAAAAATACATACATTAATCGTATAAATAAATTTCGCGAAACGGAAAATAACTTGCGCGATCGCCGGAGCCGCATTCTGGCGAACGAGAGACAGGAATCGATAACTCGCTACGGCCCCGAAATCCCACAAAGGGTGGCCGCAAAGGGTCCCTTCGACCGGATCGTGTACGCGAAGCTGGATACTAGAGAAGTCCAATTTTGATGAGATAACCAACCCTCTCTTGCATGCCACATATTACCGGGACGGAGGGAGATGGACACGGTGGGGTAGGAAAGAAGAAAAAAAGCTCTTCTGGCGGAGGCAAATCTCTTCTTTGGGACGCGGCCGTGCGAAATAAGCCAAACGTTCTGAATGCTAACGTACGAGACGCGACGTACCCCCGACGACGCCCCGGTTTTCGCGACGAAAGCATCGATACGATGAAATGGGAGACGCGTGCTTGGTTGGTTGCAGGCAGTAGCTGAATTCTTTTATAATATATTATATACAGGAAGAAGCTAGGAAGACATTTCCCCGAAGGTTGTCAAATATATCTCGCTCTATTTCGCTAAAAATTTATTTCGTCAATATTGATTAGATTATCCCGAATATAGTGTAAATAGACATGAATTTTATTCCTCCAGATTACTTCGTCGAGCGTTATTTATAATGTTGTTTACTCAACTTCGTTAATATTTCGATTTTTATTTAGTACTTCTCGATAGTTTAATTTACATGAAAATTAAGGCACGTAGAATATTAGATGCGCACAATTTCGTTTTGTTACACGTGATTATTGTTGATTGTTAAGGTGAGTTGTAATATATATTATCGCTCATTCGTCGAGAGAGAAATCCGTCGATTACTCCTTCTTGTAGAAATTCCCGCTAAGTATCTCTAACGACCCTTGCGAGCACGAGTTTCGCATTAGCGTTTACCCTGAAAACGGGAGTAAGATACAAGTAAACGTAAATCATATCTATAGAAACACATAGAAACATATCTTCCGTCTCTCCTCCTTCTCTATTTTCTTTCTCTCCCACGCGATACACATTTGACGAACGCATAGCGCTTCGATTAATTTGGATTAATGACGCGGATGCGTCGCATTAATCATCGCCTCGACGATTACGATACTATTGTTAATTATTGCTGTAATATATAATGCAACGTTTGTAAATAAATCTTGATCCGAATTCAGAAATATTGTGCCTCCATTTCCTCGCATCTTTCAAGGGACTATGATTGTTTATCAATATATAATACAAAATTTTTCTTCATTAATAAGATATTTTTTTATTAAGTCGAATCATCTTTGCATACTTTTTTATCAAACGAAATCTTTATTAACATAAAGTTTATACATAATATTTATATCTAATAAGTTCTATTATCGCGAGGCTTACATCTCATGCGAGCAGATACGAGCGTGTGTCTTGCGTTATTCTCCAAGTTGCGAGGAAAGCCGCGAAATTAATCGGAGAGGGCGAGGAAAATCTCGAGGGCAAGGTAAAGTTTCCTCCGTACTTCTCTTCCCCCTCGGCTCGTCGTGTTTTATTTCTGATAGCGACGCCTCCGTCGCCGCCACGAAGACATTATCGCCACCGCAAAGGACCCTTTCTTCCCCCATAAAGGCAATCATGCTTTCTCCGCGGCGAGATAACGACGAGAATGGCGGCCGGGAGACGTTTCCAGCCCAGGCGGGGCACGTTTCCTCCTTCCCCCTTGACAATCAGTAGAATTTTGCCGTTGCTCGCGATCGATCTCGCGAAGAAATTGATAATTCGTAGAGATTCTTCAAAAAAAAAAAAATACATAAAATGAAAATACTGTACATGCGTAAACATTGCAAGCTCTCTTCCCGACGAAAAATTATATAATTACGACGCGTTTTTATTCTCTATCGAAAACTTGAAAATATATACCGCGGGATAAATCGAATCCATCTCTATCCAAAATCCATTCTATTCATAGAACCTATTCAATTCCGTCCAGAATCGCGGAGTATCATTCGGAGTAACTTCTGTTGGGTTGCTCGAAGACGACGACGAAGCGAGCTGGTAAGTTTTACGGGTGACGTACACAAAAGCATGGAAAGAGGACGAGCGGCTGGGAGCAGCAGCAGCGACTACCCTCTGACCAGAGGGAGAAGTCTACGTGCCTCTCTCCATTAGTATGCGCGGAAGTATGCCGTGCTCGATTGTGGCGGGTATTGTCGTCGAAGAATGTCCTCGTTGCGCGTACCTCCGCAGCTCCGGACGGCTCCCGTAAGGAGACGTAAAGCGAATTCGAGTGAAATGTAATCACTCCCCGAAAGAGGGGGAGGGAGAACTGCTGAGGGATTCCGAAGTACAGTTCATCCGACGCGCAGAAAAGGGTTGATGTAACTAATAACGTCGCGTTGTTTCCTATTCTTTCGATTCAAAACTTCTCGCAAAATTTCATCGAGCTCTTCACGCCAATTTTTTTTTATTTATCCAAGCTAATCTTTATATTCCCTATCGGGATGCGGATTTAGAAGATAATCTTCATGATAATGTTTCAAGTATTTACAATTTTCGTGCGAGAATCAAGTTTGACGTCCATATAAGTAATAATATATCATTTACTAAAATTAGCCCGACCCCCAGGAGTCTCGCGTATCTCCGTTTCCGTCTTTCTCTCTCGCTCCCTCGCCCGAGGAGAAAGGATGGAGGACGTTTTAATTGTGCGCGCGCGCGCGACCGCTCGGTGATATCAGCCGCGCTTTTATGCGCGACGGTGAGAGGAGGACGCGATCGTTTGATTGCGGAAAATGACGGGCGGCGGTGGGCGCGAGTGGAAGTTTTGAGTGGGCGTCGGTCCTAGTAGACAATGAGGCATTCAGGCGCGACATTGTGCCGACCGACAACTGCGTTACCCTAGACAAACCCGAAATCACCGGCGCTATCGCCGCTCCAGATCCGATTATGTGAATAATAAAAAGCGTGATGACAGAGAGAGAGAGAGAGAGAGAGAGAGAGAGAATGAGGGAAGGGGTGGAGAACGAGAGATAGGGCGCACTAAAGGTTAATAATAGCGATGCCGCGTGGCTGACGCCTCCTTTTATCGTCTTGCAACAAACACCGGCTTTATCGTGCCTCGTATACTCCTCGCATTGCGTCGCGAGATACCGAAACATTTCTCGACAAATTTACAATTAACTCCTTTTTTTATAAAGATACAACAAGAAATTCATGGACAGAGGAATCCAAAGATTGAAATTTTTCATCAACACTCGAGAACCACGATATTGTTGTGCCTATCTGAAAATCAGCTGATCGTGTGACATCTGTCAAGTGATGGATTATTGTTTATAAACGACTTATGTGTTACGGTCCCGTCGCAGAAACGGTCGTGAGCGACGCGTAATTATGCATTACGTGGGGGATCGTCAAGTCTGCCCGAAGTTAGCGAACTTGGTTAATTAGGAACGGTAGTCAGACGCTGCCTGCTATTGTCCGGCGCTGTTGACTTCCGGCCTTCACGCCCGCCTGTCTCACTTCCCTCCTCTCTGGCACCTCCCTGCTCTTCATCCCCTCTTCCTTCCCTTACTGGAGAGAGAGGGGTCGCGAGGACTGATTGTTTCATTGTTTCCGACCCCACTGTCAAATGCCACCGGCCTGAATGGGGTTATTGTTGTTTCAGGCCGCGCCGCAGACAATTCTCGGGATTTTCAGGGTTCGCGCCGAGACCGACATCCGAAGCGCGACTTTCATCGAGCTGCCCTTTCTCTCCACGCGCGATATTTTTATTAGGGATGCGATACATATAGTTATTATTTTTTCGCACTCTTCTTAGGGTGGAACTGACTGCCGGTCTTGCTGCGAATATTCTGTAGTATTGGGGATTGACACGATGTTGCCGGTAATTTCTCTATCACTTCTCTAGAAAAAGTAAAAAATAATTAACTAATAAATGATTTTAATTGTCAATTTAAAAAAATATCGAGTTTGACTTAAAAATCGAGAGTCAAGATTGTAAAAATTTTAGACTTGAAATTCTTCAGAAACTCCGACAATCCTGACAATCTTGATTATTTAATCGACTTGCGATTAAATAGGAACAATCTTAAGACATTTTGTGTAACACGAAACTAGTCAGAGTCTTAAATCTCTGAATCTGTTGTGCGAATACAAATGCACCGATAGAATCGGGCTGTATGTCTTCCTGGCCTGACATATCCGAGCCGTCATTCGCGTCTCGCGATCGTCGATCCCCGGGAATCGCTCTCGAAAAAGCTCGAAAAGCGAGCGAGACCAGTAAAATACTGGCCGGGGCAACATTTCACGGATGGATCGCGCGATACGATCGTCGCATTTCCCGTGGACGCTCATATATAAGGCGAACTTATGCCGAGCGTAAATTCAGCCCGGGTTTCGGGCGCTATCTTATCACGTCCGCGGTTTGGAAGGCGCCGATAGAGAGACCATGCTCTAGACATTATGGGAGATTGAAAAACCTGAGGAACTTCTTTTCGCTGACCTGAGAAGCGCCGGACTTCCGGTCAACCGGCCGGCGACCGGCAATGGTGGCTCTCGCTCTCTCGAGAGGGAACTAGAGATCGAATTCGCGGATAAGTCATCTCATGGGGGGAACGACAGAGGAGGCCAGTAGAATCGTCGCACATTTTGCGTAGAAATATTTCTTTCATATTTTTTTACGCGACTCGTGGCGTCGACAAACACAGATTTGTTTTAACAGAGCTTTATATAAGGGTAAAGAAAATTTTTGAGCGATTTAAAAAATAATATATATATATATATATATATATATATATATATATATATAGAACAAATTTATATATAAAAAAAGATATAGATTTTGATAGAAATCTGCCTAAAATAGTAAAAAAGGTATAAAATGCCGATAGTCACGAGTACCAGCTGCGATGAAATTCTCGCTTTTGACCTTCCAAGTGAATCCTTCGCAAGTTAGAATCGGAATAAAAAAGAAAAAGGGAGAGAGAGAGAGAAAAAGAAGAGAATTGGTGGCGAGGTTGGTCCATTCGCGAGACACTTCATCACGATTTAACGCCATAAAAGTGGAATAAGGTCCGAGATGCCACGTGATGCCCTCCTGCGCGCTCCTGCTGCGGATTGGAAACAAAATGTCGTAAAATATGAAGAGAGCGCACCGTCGCGACACCCCTTTTCTATCACGTACGGGGGTGACCCGGGGACATCGGAATGCGACGAGAGGAGGGACCGACGCCCCCCGGTAAATACAAATAAAAATGGAAAGCCGGCCGTAATGGCCGGTGGAAAGCATGACGCATACCTACAGTCGTGGCTGTTTCAAATTGATATTTCGAAAGTGCCTTCACATACACCCTCTTTGCGCACACATACGTACGTTAGACGTTTATCACGAGTCCGCCTTTTCGCGCTTTCGTACTGTCAAACGATACTACAGCAATATCTACTCCTCTCTTTTGTAATGTTTCTCTGCTCGGTTTCTTTCCTTATCTTCTTTTCCTCGCATCTTTGATTCCTCGTTTCTTTGTTTCTTTTTATTTTCCTCATTTTTAACATTTTTTAACCTATCTTATCTATAATTATTTTTTTCTGCTTTGTAACATATCATTTTTTATCTCTTTTTTATCTTTTATCTTTTCGTATTTTTTTATTTAGCTCATTTTAATTTTTTTCTCCTTTTGACTTCATTTTTTCCATCATTTTGGCTTCATTTTTTTCATTTTTTTTTTTGCGCACTTTCCGCCTTCTCATTCTTCATCTCCTTCGCTTTCCTTCCTTCTCTCTAACTGACAGTCTATTCGCATCAAATCTGTGGCCTGGCCGAGCCGGAAAATTGATTTTATTTCCTTTCGCCGATCCTCACCGCTCTTCGGAGCTTATCGCGTCGCCTCGGGACCGGATGGCCAATTTTTTTGCCGCCCGTGAAAATTAGACGGCTCTGTTCTTCAAAATTTTGCATGAATATTACAGCAACAATTCATGACGACGATTCTATTCGAGAATTCAAAAATTGCCCATCTCAAGATGCGTGCGATTTCGCAAGCCACACCCTTTCGTCGCACGCGTCCGATGTAATGCGTCCCTTGTGTAATGCGTAGCATGAAATATGCATCTGTGTATTATACGTGGTACGTATATGTAAGGAAGGGAAGGGGAACGCATTGATATCCGCGCGTGTGTAAATTATTTTTCACG